AAAAATTAAAATTTTTTGAAGAACAAACCACAAGAAGCTTATACTACTCTCGAAAGTCTCCAAAAATAAAACACAGGGAGTCCCAGATATTCTCTAAATTTTTCACAAATGAAACACCAAAAGCCCATGAGTTTTTTTCAAAAATAAAACACAAGGAGTCCCTTAATCTTTAGAATTTTTCAAAAATAAAACATCAAAGGCTTCCAAGATTCTTTCAAAAACAAAACACCAAGAGCCTTGAAATTCTTTACAATCTCTCGAAAATAAGTTAAATGAGCAACGGCCCTCAAGATTCTTTTAAATTCTTTCAAAAATACAACCCTAGGAGTGCTCAAGATTGTACCAAAAACAAAACACTGAGAGCTCCTAAGATTATTTTCACATCTTTCAAATGTAATAGATCAGGGGCCCTCAAGATTTTTTTGAATTCTTTCAAAAGTGAACACTAGGAAGCTGCAAAATTCTTTCAAATTTTTGCACGAACAACTCGTAAAGAACCTCCAAGATTCTTTAGAATTTTTTCAAAAATAAAACACCAGAAACCCCCGAGATTCTTTCAATTATTTAAAAAATACAACGCAAGAAGTCCCTAAGATTCGTTAGAATTCTTTCAAAGCAAAACTTATGGGGTCTCTTAGAATCTTTAGAATTCTTTCAACAATAAAACATCAAAGGCCTCCAAGATTCTTTCAAAAACAGAATACCAAGGGCCCTTGAGTTTCTTTAGAATCTTTCGAAAATAAAAGATCAACGGCCTTCAAGATTCTTTTCAATTCTTTCAAAAATAAAATCCCAGGAGCTCCCAAGATTGTACCAAAAACAAAACACTGAAAGCTCCTAAGATTGTTAACAATTCTTTCAAAAATAATAGATCAGGAGTCCTAAAGATTCTTTCAAATTTTTTCGAAAATAAAACACCAGAAACCCTTGAGATTTTTTGAATTATTTAAAAAATACAACACAAGAAGTCCCTAAGATTCTCTAGAATTCTTTCTAAACAAAACATACGGAGTCCCTTAGATGCTTTATAATTCTTTCAACAATAAAACACCAAAGGCCTCCAAGATTCTTTTAAAAACAGAATACCAAGGGCCCCTGAGATTCTTTAGCATCTTTCGAAAATAAAAGATCACAGTTCTCAAGATTTTTTAAAATTATGTCAAAAATAGAGATTCTTTAGAACCTTTCGAAAAAAAAAAGATTAACGGCCCTCAAGGTTTTTTAAAATTTTGTATAAAATAAACCACCTGAGAATCTTTAGAATCTTTCGAAAATAAAAGATAAACGGCCCACAAGATTCTTTTAAATTATTTCAAAAATAAAATCCCAGAAGCGCCCAAGATTGTACCAAAATGAAAACACTGGGAGCTCCTAAGGTTCTTTACACTTCTTTCAAAAATAATAGATCAGGAGCCCTCAAGATTTTTTAGAAATCTTTCAAAAGCAAACACTTGGAAAAAAATTTTTTTCAAGAACAAATCGTAAAGAGACTCCAAGATTGGAAAATCAAAATCTGAAAATTCGAAAAATTGAGGAATTGCAAAAACTGATAAAAACTAAAAGTCGAAAAATCGATCAATCGAGAAATCGAAAACTTGGAAATGCCAAAAATTGAAAAATAGGAAAATCCAAGAATTGAAAAATCAAAAACTTGAAAAATCGCCAAAAATTTGAAAAATAGAAAAATCGTAGATTTGAAAAAATCGAGAAATCGAAAAATCTGAAATTTAAAAAACCAAAAAATAAAATATAAAAAACGAGAACTAGAAAAATCTAAAATTTAAAAAAAAGTAAAAAGTCGAGAGATCGAAAGGAATTACCCAAAAATTGAAGAATTAAAAACTAAAAAATCAAGAAATCGAAATTGGAAAATTGATGTACTTATCGAAAAATAAAAAAATCGACAAATCGTGAATTTGAAAAAGTGAAAAATTAAGAAATCCAAAACTGAGATACATGTATGGAAAAATTGATCAAACGGAAAATTGAAAAACGAAGAAAAATTGAAAAATCCCCAAACTAAAATATCGAAAAATTGCAAAATCTAGAAATCGAAAGTCAAAAAATCGAATAAAAAATTGGGAAATCAAAAACCTGAAAATTCGAAAAATTGCAAAAACTGAAAAATCGAGAAATCGAAAATTTAGAAATGCCATAAATTGGAAAATAGAAAAATCGAGAAATCGAAAAATCGTCAAGTCGAAAAATCGGAAAACCGAAAATTTTTAAAATCGAAAAATTAAAAACCTGAAAAATCGAGAAATCGAGAAGTCGAAAAATCGGTTAATCACGTAATTTTAAATTTAGAATTGCCAAAAATTGAAAAATAGAAAAATCAAAAATTTGAAAAAAAATCAAGAGTTTGAAAAATCTAGACTTTAAGAAACAAAAATAAAATATAAAAAAATGGAGAAATCGAAACTTCGAAAAATTCGAAAAATTGAAAGATCGAGAATCTAAAATTAAAAAGTCGACAAACTCAGATTTTGAAGAAGCGAAAAATTGAAAAATCCGAAAACTGAAATATCGAAAAATTGAGATATCTAGAAATCGAAGGGTCGAAAAACCGAAAATTTAAAAAATTGGAACATAAAAAAAAACTGAAGAATTGCAAAAACAGAAAAATCTTAAAATCGAAAAATGGGGAAACGGGAAAGTTGAAAAGTCAAAAAATCGATTAATCGAGAAATCGAAAATTTGGAAATGCCAAAAATTGAAAAATACGAAAATCGAAGAATGGAAAAATCGGAAAACCGAAAATTTTAAATATTGAAAAATAAGAAACCTGAAAAATTGAGGGATAGAGAATGCGACAAATTCAAGAAATAGAAAATTTTTAAATTTAAAAACACCAAAAATTGAAAAATGAAAACATGGAAGATCAAAAAATCTAAAATTTAAAAACCGAAAAATAAATTATAAAAAAAAGATCGAAAGGAAATATCGAAAAATTGAAGAATTTATAAACCGATAAATTGAGAAATCGAGAACTCCAAAAATGACAGAAATCAGAAAATTACAAAATCTAAAAATTGATTAATCGAGTAATCAAAAAATTCAAAACTTAGAAACGACAAACATTGATATATTAAAAAATCAGGAAACTTAAAAACTGGAAAATCTGAAAGTCGAAAAATCGGGAAATGGAAAAGTTGAAAAATAGAAAAATCGATTAATTGAGAAATGTCAAAAATTGAAAAATCGAGAAATCGACAAATATAAAACCGAAAAATTAAAATATAGAAAAATTGCAAATTCGGAACGAAAAATTGAAGAAGCAATATATCGAAAAATCCCAAAACTGAAATATTGAAAAATTGAAAAATCGAAAAGTTGAAAAATCGATTTATCGAGAAATTTAGAAATGCCAAAAATCGAAAAACAGAAAAATCGAAATATTGAAATTTTGAAGGATTGAAGAACTAAAAAATCAGTCGAGAAATCGAGAAGCCGAAAAAACGATTAATGATAAAATAGAAAAATGTTAAATTTAGAAACGCAAAAAATTGAAAGATTGAAAAATCAAAAATTTGAAAAAAAGCGGGAAATCGAAAAATCTAAAATTTAAAAAACCGAAAAATAAAATATAACAAAATTCGAGAAATCGAATCCTCGAAAAATTCAAAGCAAAATATCGAAAAAATGAAGCATTAAATCGAAAAATCCAAAAGTTGAAAAATCGAGAAATTGAAAAATTAAAAAACGCAAAAATTGATTTTGATAAATCGAAAAATCAAAGAGAGAACCGGAAAATTGAAAAATCGACACCAAAAATGTCCGAGGTTCTTGAAAAAAAACACGCCTAGAATCTTTCAAAAATTAAAAATCAGTGGCCCTCAAGATTAGCTCCTAAGAAATATAATAATTTATTTGTCTAATAACTCGTCACCAAAATTAATTTCGATGCTGTGAAAAACAATTTTTTTGTTTATTTCCGTAATCTGACGTTTCGTTAATTCCAAGCAAACTAAATACTTCTAGATAAAATTCAAATTTGTGATTTCTGATCGATTTTAGGTTTGTTCAATCAACCTTTCTAATTTAAGAAAATTTATTACGATTTTTGTGTGGCACTCTCTATTGAGAAAGTATTATTTGGATTCATTAAAATTTATTCCGCACACAACAACTAGAACATTTTTATAACGCCGAGTTATAAAAAATCATATTCTGCTACTAAATACTGTTTCTAGGTGACGAGACTGTACAAAACCAATAACCAACACAGATAATATAAAAAACATTAGCAAAAAAACTACCAAAAAATACACTTTTAAAACATTGCGAAATTTAGGCAGTTTGCTCCAGTTTTAGCACTCAATCGCCTTATTAATAATGCCACTGCATAGTAATAGCGTATTTATTTATTGCTTAACACAGCTCTAAACCCGGGTTATGAAGCCAGATTTTTTTTGTTTTTATACATATTCGTGATATTTTTAGCTATAAGGACAACTTTTTGCATCGAATTTGAATAATGCACGAAATTCTGACTCGGCTAATCACCTTGGCTCGTTTGAAAACAAACCTGCAACGTGATATTCAAAAATCTCCCTCATTAGATATTTCAACGCGTGAAAAAAACCCTAGGACACTCAGGATCATTTTCACTTGACTGTTAGTTTGTGTTCACATTTGAGCCATCCGGACGTCGCCGCTCAGTCTTCGTGAGCAAAAAATTAATTAAATTGGTTACGTGTTACGACTAGTTAATACAACTTTATAAAAAAGCAACGTGTTTATTAACGTTATTATTCAACTTCTCGCGAAACTGGTCCCCCATAAAGCACGCTCCATCGCACCTACAGCATCTGCCGTCACCCATAAAAAAAATTCTAATTATGTAATTCGATTAATATTCAAGTGCACCGTTTCGTAACACCGTTTTTAGCGCAGAAATTAATTTCGAAAGTAATAATAATGCTGGTACGGCGACGGAATAGTTTGTTTGTGGAATAACACGGCGTGCGACAATTTTGCGCGAATAAAAAATTCCATACCTTCGGTCCAAAACACCAGAGTACACTACACCATCGCGTTATGACTTTCGAAAAAAATTTAATAACAATTTATTGCACCTGGGCTGCTTACAATTCAAACCATTCTGTTCAAACTGAGGAACTTGGTGCCGCTTACTCACCTCTGGCGCCCCTCCACTGCGGCACAGAGGCGGAACGAGGATTGCTCGAGCGGGGGCAAAGCAAAAATGCCGCCGGTGGCTAGCGTTGATGCAGGAGTGGATTTGCTTGACATAATTCCAGGGGGATTTTTAAATACGCGGATTTTTTGAAAAATGTTGTAGGTTGCATATAAAATGTCATTTAAAAAAATTAATGAACCAAAACAGGAATGTCATTAGCGGAAATACAATTTTATGGCGGTGCAATTGAAAATTTTGTCTTGATAAAAAAATTTATTTCCCTGTCAGTATGAATTTTGGCGTTAGTATCATGATCTTGACATTTATCATTTAGCAGGAGGAATCATAGACATACGTAACAATTATTATAGAGAAATTTCTAGCTTCGTTTGTTAGTAATGAGCAGCGTGGGAAGCACGTCAGAACTCAAGGAGTATGCTTTAGGCGATCCAAGGTTTATTTATCAAATATTCCACATGCAATTTTAACCGACATTTTTGCATTTTATTGTGTTTTTGTTTACTGGTTTTTTAATAGTGTGTAACATTTTCAACTCAATGTTATTTCTTTTTGTTTAAAGTTTTTATTACAATGTTACACAAAAAATTGAAGTGGTGTTGATTTAGAAGCAATGGTGCCTTAAACATTTTTTTAAATAAAACACCAAATTCTTTCAAAAATAAACCGCCAAGAGCACCCGCGATTCCTACGAATTCTTTCAAAAATAAGACATCAGAGATTCTTTCAAAAGCAAAACTTGCGAGAACTTTGAGATTATTTAGGATTCTTTCAGATTTAAAACACCAGGGGCCACTGAGATTGTTTAAAATACTTTCAAAAAATAAAACACCAGGAGTCCCTAACATTCTGTACACCGGAAAATCAAGCGTCCGCAAGATTCTTTAGAATTCTCTCAAAAATTAGATCAGGCGTCCCCGGGATTCTTTCAATTTCTTTCAAAAGAAAACGCCAGGAATACCTGAAATTTTCTAGAATTCTTTTTAAAAAAATAAACACCAAAGGAGCACTTAAAATTCAGCAGAATTCTTTCAAAAATATGAGATCAAGGGCCGTCAAACAAGTACCAGAGACCCTTGAGATTCGTTACAATTCTTTCAAAAATTAGATAAGGTCCCTTGAGATTTTTTAGATTACATAAAAAAAAAATAAAACACCAGAGGATCCTATGATTCTTCCAAAAACGAAACGCTAAGAGCCCTCAGAATACTTTAAAATCCTTTCAAAACAAAACACTAGAAAGATTATTTTAAATTCTTTTAAAAATTGTGTCAAGCCTCTCGAAATTCTTTCAATTTCTTTCAAAAACAAACGACAGGCCTTCTAGAATTCTTTAGAAATGAAATTCTGTAGCTCCCCAAAATTCTTCTAATAACAAAATGCCGGAAGCCTTTAAAATTCTGAAGAATTCTTTCAAAAATAAAGTACCAAGATTTTTTCAAGTTTTTTCAAAAACAAACCAGTAAGAGTACTTGAGATTCATTAGAATTCGTTCAAACATTGGATCAGACACTCAAGATTCTTCAAATTTTGTCAAAAACGCCAGGGGCCTCTGACAATTTTTAAAATTCTTTTTCAAAAATGTAACACTAAGGATCCCCCCACTTTTTCCAAAAACAGAATGTGAGAGTCCCTTGAATTTTGTAAAATTTTTTCAAAAATAAGAGACCTTCAAGATTCATTAGAATCCTTTCAAAATAGTGCAGTAGGGCCCCTATTATAATGCTTTCAAATTCTTTCAAAAACAAAAAGAACACCAGAAGTCTCTGAGATTCATTAGAATTTTTTAAAAAAATTCTCGAGATTCTTTCAATTTTTTCCAAAAATAAAACACCATTGACTTCTGCGATTCATTATATTGTGAGCAGTTTTTAAGATTCTTTCGGGTTCTTTCAGAATTAAAACTCTGTTTAAAAAATAAAACTCCAGGTACCTCCAAGATTTTTTCGAAAACAAAATGCCGGAAACTGCTTAAATCCTGTAGAATTGTTTCAAAAACGAGAGATCAGGTGTCTGCAAGATTCTTTTAAAAGCAAAACTTGCGAGAACTTTCTGAGATTGTTTAGGATTCTCTCAAAAATTAGATCAGGCATCCTCGAATTCTCTTAATTTCTTTCAAAAACAAAACACCAGGAACGCCTGAGATTTTTTAGAATTCATTTAAAAAAATAATACATCAGAGGACCCTACGATTCTTTCAAAAACAAAAGGTTGGGACCCGTCAGAATTACTTTAAAATACTTCCAAAACAAAACATTAGGGACCTCCAAGATTCTTTTAATTCTTTCAAAAATGAAAGACCCAGGGTCCTCAAAATTCTTCCAAAAACAAAACACCGGAAGCCCTTTAAATTCTGTAGAATTCGTTAAAAAATGAGGAGCCAGGGGCCCTCGAGATTCTATCGAATTCTTTCAAAAATAAAGCACCAAGGGTTACCGAAATTATGTTGAATTAAAAAAAAAAATAAAACACCAAGGACCCCGAGATTTTTTAAATTCTTTGAAAAATAGAACATCGGTGTGCCCCAACAATATTTTGAATTCTTTCAAAAGTAAATTGTGAGAAATTGCCAAGCTTCTTTAGAGTTCTTTCATAATTAAAACACCAGGACCACTGAGATTATTTAAAATTCTTTCAAAAATAAAACACCAGGGGGTGCTGAGATTCACTAGAATTCTTTTTAAAAAATAAAACACCAGGTGTCCCCGAAATTTTTCCAAATTCTTTCAAAAATAAAAGATCAAGGACTCTCAAGATTCTATAGAAATTTTTCAAAACAAAATAGGGGCCCCAAGATTATTTCAAATTCTTTCAAAAACAAAACACCAGCGGATCTTGCGATTCATTAGAATTCGTTTAAACATTGGATCAGAGACACTCAATATTCTTTCATATTTTTCAAAAACAAAACACCAGAGTCCTCTAAGTTTTTTTAGAATTCTTTTTCAAAAATGAAACACTAGAGTTCCTCAAAATTTTTCCAAAAACAAAATGCTGAAACCTCCTAAAATTCTGTGGAATTCTTTCAAAAATGAGAGACTAGGAACTCTCAAGATTCTTTAAAAAATAAAACACCAGGTCCTCAGGAAACACTCAAAATTCTTTAAATTTTTTCAAAAACAAAACTCCTTAGAGACAGAATTTTTTCAAAAATTAAAGTAGAGATTCTAGAAATTCTTTCAATTTTTTTCAACAATAAAACACTCTAGACTTCTGAGATTCTTTACATTGTTTCAAAAGCTTCTAAGATTCTTTAGGGTTCTTTCAGAATTAAAACACTAGGAACCTCTGAGATTCATTAGAACTCTGTTTAAAAAATAAAACACCAGGTATCTCCAAGATTTTTTCGAAAACAAAATGCCGGAAGCCCCTAAAATTCTGTAAACATTTTTCAAAAACGAGAGATCATGGACCTTCAAGATTCTTTTAAAAACAAAACACCAGAAGCCCTTGAAAATTTATTAGAATTCTTTCAAAAATTGAATCAGTGATTGTACAGATTCTTTCAATCTTTTTCAAAAATAAGACATCAATGTCGTCAAAATTTTTCCAAAAACAGAATGTCGGAAATTCATAAAACTCTGTAGAATTCTTTGAGAATTACGAACTAGGGGTCTTCAAGCTTCTCTATAGTTCTTTCAAAACAAAACACCAGTCGTCCCAAAGATTCTTTCAAATTATTCGAAAAACAAACCACCAAAATACCTGAGATTCCTTAGGATTCTTTAAAATAAAACACCAAGTCCCCCGAAACACCAAGATTCTTTCAAAAACAAAACACCAGGGGCTCTTGAGATTCATAAGAATTCGTTTAAACATCGGATCAGAGACTCTCAATATTCTTTCGGTTTTTTCAAAAACAAAACGCCAGAATTTTTTAGAATTCTCTTTCAAAAATGAAACACTAGAAATATTCAAAATTTTTTCAAAAACAAAATGCCGAAAGCTCCGGAAATTCTGTAGAATTCTTTCAAAAATGAGAGACCAGGAACCCTCAAAATTCTTTAAAATACCGTCAAAACAATACGTTAGGGTAGCTAAGGTTCCTTAGGATTCTTTAAAAAATAAAACACCAGGTCCCCAGAAAACACTCAAAATTCTTAAAATTTTTTCAAAAACAGAACAATTCAGGGACAGATTAAATAGAATTTTTTCAAAAATTAGAGTAAAAATTCTTGAAATTCTTCCAGTTTTTTTCAAAAATAAAACACCATCGAGTTTTGAAATACTTTAAATTTTTTCAAAAGCGAATTGTGAAAAGTTTCTAAGATTCTTTAGGGTGCTTCCAGAATTAAAACACTAGGGACCCCTGAGATTCAATAGAACTTTGTTTAAAAAATAAAACACCAGGTCCCCAGAAAACGCTCAAAATTCTTAAAATGTTTTCAAAAACAGAAGAATTCAGGGACAGATTAAATAGAATTTTTTCAAAAATTAGAGTAAAAATTCTCGAAATGGGTTCAATTTTTTTCAAAAATAAAACACCATCGAGTTTTGAAATTCTTTAAATTTTTTCAAAAGCGAATTGTAAAAAGTTTCTAAGATTCTTTAGGGTGCTTCCAGAATTAAAACACTAGGGACCCCTGAGATTCAATAGAACTTTGTTTAAAAAATAAAACACCAGATCCCCAGAAAACACTCAAAATTCTTAAAATGTTTTCAAAAACAGAAGAATTCAGGGACAGATTAAATAGAATTTTTTCAAAAATTAGAGTAAAAATCCTTGAAATTCGTTCAATTTTTTTCAAAAATAAAACACCATCGAGTTTTGAAATTCTTTAAATTTTTTCAAAAGCGAATTGTGAAAAGTTTCTAAGATTCTTTAGGGTGCTTCCAGAATTAAAACACTAGGGACCTCTGAGATTCAATAGAACTTTATTTAAAAAATAAAACACCAGGTCCCCAGAAAACACTCAAAATTCTTAAAATTTTTTCAAAAACAGAACAATTCAGGGACAGATTAAATAGAATTT